GGGGGAGGGGGAGGGGGAGGGGGAGGAGGGGGGTGTATGCTTGCCTGAGTGCACCCTAACATGTGCACTCATGTGTGGGGGAGGTCCTTGTGCCTATTCACTTGGAGGCCAGAAAGACATTGGGTGTTCTCCCCCACTCTCTTCTCTTTTTAAAAGATTTTATTTTGGAGGCTGGAGAGGGATGCCTCATCAGGTTAAGATCCAGTTCTCTTCTTACAGAGAACCCAACTTTAATTCCTAGCACCCAAGTTGAATGGCTTACAACTACCTATATGCCAGGTCCAGGGGATCAAACTTCCTCTTCCGGTCCCCTTGGGCACATGCACTTACATGTACAAACCCACACACAGACAAACACATATACATTATTAAAAATAAAATCTTTTTGTTGTTTTGTTTCGATACAGGGTTTCACTGTGTAGTCTTGGCTGTCCTGGACTTGCTTTGTAGGCCAGGCTGGCCTCAAACTCACAGTGATCCATCGCCTCTGCCTCCCAGAGTGCTGGGATTACAAGTGTTCGGCACCACCACTCCCAGCTTTTATTTATTTATTTTTTTTAAGATTTATTTATGGGGTTGGAGAGATGGCTCAGAGGTTGAGAATACTCACTGTTCTTCCAAAGGTCCTGAGTTCAATTCCTAGCAACCACATGGTGGCTCATAACCATCTATATTAAGATCTGGTGTGCAGGCAGAATGTTGTATAAATAATAAATAAATCTTTTTTAAAAAAAGTTTATTTATGTATTTTGTATACAATGTTGTTTCTGCATGTACACATGCATGCCAGCAGAGGACACCAGATCTCATTACAGATGATTGTGAGACCCCATGTGGTTGCTGGGAATTGAGCTCAGGACCTTTGGAAGAGCAGCCAGTGCTTTTAACCTCTGAGCCATCTCTCCAGCCCCTAAAAATAAAAATCTTAAAAATATTTTAAGTGCAACTAAGGAGCATGCATGATCTGGACCTAGGCCCCTGCACACATACAGCCAAAGGGCAGCTTGGGCTTCATATAGGTTGCCTGGAGAGTGGAGGGAGGCCTGTTTCTAACATGGACTCTATCGCCTGCTTTTGGATCACTCCCCCGGCAGGGCTGCCTTGCCTGGCCTCAGGGGATGAGGATATGTGCAGTCCTGGGGAAGGCTAATTCGGGGAAGGGGGCTCTCCTTTTCTGGGGCCAGGGAGAGAGAGGGAAATGGGAAAGAAGGGGAAATGGGAGCGACTGGGAGGAGGCGGAGGGAGGGAGCACCCTCAGTATGTAAAGTAAATAAACTAATATAAAATTTTCAAAAATGTTTTAAGTATGTGCATGTGTAAATATGTGTGTGTGTGCTCGTGCCTGCATGTGCACACGTGAGTTCAGTGTCTGCAGAGGCCACAAGATGGCACTGAGCCCTCCCGAGCTGCAGTTAGAGGTGGTGGTGAGCTGCTGGACATGGGTGTTGGGAATTGAACTTGGGTCCTTTGAAAGAATAGTATGCAATTCTAAGCCATCACCCTCATCCTCCCCCCATTCCTTCTGGAGGAAGAGTCTCTCTGTGACTCTGGAGCTAGAGTCTCTGCTAGGCTGAAAGCCAACAAGCCCCAGGGAGGTTCCGTTCTCTACCCAACTAGGAGTTGAAGTTAGAGCATTTACAGGAGCTCCCAGCTTTTGATGTGGGTGCCGGCATTGAAACTCTGCTCTTCACAATTTTGAAGCAAACAGTCTCACTTCTTAGTCATTTCTCTACCACCATTGTTGCCTTTGGTCTTGCTTTTCCCAGAGAAAATCTCTTATAGCCTCCGCTGGTATGAAGCTCACTTACACAGCCAAAGCAAGCCTTGAACTCCTGATTTTCCTGTCTCCAAGCCCCAAGTGTTGAGACCATAGGTGTGTCCCACCTTTCCTGGCACTGGAGACCTTTTGCAAACCATCTTTTGTTTGGTCTCTTCAAATAGGGTCTCAGTATGTAGCACAAGCTAGCCTGTATCCTCCTGCCTCAGGCTCCTGGAATAAACCACCAAGCCCAATTAACTGTGTAATGGTGCCTGATGGTGGAGAGAGGACATTTTACTGGGTGTATGGGATAAATTCTGCTGCCCTAAGGCGCAGTAGAGTAATAACTGTAGAAGACGCCTCATGTGTTTTAAAATAGTTATGCAAAGGGTTATACGGCCCACACAATAGCATCAGTAATATGATGATGGAAATGCCAATTACCATAATCTAGTTATGACACAATCTACCAAAATAAAACACCATGTCCCATAACATCCATACCTATTCCATGTCAGTTAGTATGGGCTAAATAGGTGTAGTGGTGCACTTGGCAGCAAAGGCAGGCAGATCTCTGTGAGTTGGAGGCTAGCCAGGGCTATACAGTATGACCCTGTCCCAAAAACCAAAAACAGAAATGAACAAACAAAAATCAGGGGGACTGGAGAGATGGCTCAGTGGTTAATAGGACAGCTAGTTCCACAAGAGACTTCATTCCCACCACCCACAAGGCAATTCACAAAAGTCTGCAATTTCAGTTCCAGGGGATCTGACACCCTCTTCCGACCTCCAAAGGTACCAGGTACACACATGGTACACATACATTTAGGCAAAACAATCATATGCATAAAATTAAAAAAAATAATTAAAAAAGCAGCTGAGTGCCCCCGACCTGGGAGGTGGAGGCAGGTGGATGTCTGTGAGTTCCAGGACAGCCAAAGCTACACACAGAAAAACCTTGCCTTGAAAAACATAAACTAAAACAGCAACAACAAGAACAAGAGCAAACCCCGAAGGCTGTGGCTGCAGCTCATGCCTAGCCTGCATGAGGCCGTGGGTCTGATCAAGAGCACCACAAAATGACTAAGCTACTGCGGTGGCGTGCACCTTCAGTCCCAATACTCAGAAGACCTCAGCAGGCAGATTTCTCAACTCAAGGCCAGCCAAGCCTACAGAGCAAGTTCCAGGGCAGCTGAGGCTACATTGCAAGACCTTGTCTTCAAACAAACAATAAAATCTTCTCTCCAGCCCCTAAATTTTCTTTCTTATGGGATGAAAATACCAATCCCTAACACCCTACAAAACAGCCAGTGTGCTTGCCATACCTTTATTCTCTTAGCATGAAGGTACACGAAAGAGAATCAGAAATTTAAGGTCCCGGGAAACAAGCTCAGGTCGTCAGGCTCGGCAGCAAGCATCTTTATCTGTTGAGACATCTTGCTGACCTATATTTCCTTGATCTGTCTTGCCCTTCTTTCTTCTTTTTTAGACAGGGTCTGGCTCTGTAACCCAGGTTAGCTTTTAACTTACTAGATGCCCAATATTACCCTCAGTCCTATAGGAGCCTCCCAAGTGCTTCAATTACAGGCATGTACCGCCATGTCCAATTTACAGTTTGTTTGTTTGTTTGTTTGTTTGTTTGTTTGTTTTCACCCTGTGTAGACCTGGCTGACCCGGAACTCACTCTGTAGACCAAGCTGGCTTCGAACTCAGAGATCTGCCTGTCTCTGCCTCTTGAGTGCCAAGTGCTGGGACTAAAGGTGTATGTACACCACCACAGAATGCTACAATATTTTTAAACTAAGAGCATATTAATCTGACTGAGGCTCATCTCAGTGTTAGAGTGCTTACCTAGCACATGCAGAGCTGGGGTGGAGTCCTAGCCCAGTCGAGGTACATACCTGAAGGATGAGTTTGCATTCCTAATCCTCCTGCCAAGTTTTAGAACTACACACACACACACACACACACACACACACACACACACACACACACAC